AAAAAAAAAAAAAAAAGCGTGCAGAAAAACTGCACTGCACGGCCAGAAATAAAATAAGATAAAATGCAAGCAGACCTAACAAATCAACACACCCGCCAGTCCACATTCCTGCTCAGCACTTTCCTTTTGGAAAAATAAAATCAGTTCTTAAGAAGGTGAGGAGCAGCGGCTATACCGAATGAGCCACATTCCCCACTGCGGATGCTTTATTCCAATCCCATTGTTCCACTTCTCCACTCCATTTCTCTTCCTTAAAAATAATCCACGATTTTTAACTTTGGGGGGGTGGTGGTAGGGAAGCACCGAGGCTCCCATTTTCCTCCAGTTTCCTCTTGCAAATCTTAACTTTTGCAGCCGGAGGAAAGGAGCGATTTTTATTATTTTCGTGATTTTTTTCCCCAACCCGGCAGCTGAAAGTGCATCTCGAAAGTGATGCATAACGCTCCTCGGAAACATCACGTCTGCTGCTGCACTTTCTTTGTCTGGGAGAAGCCGGCACTGGCCACCACCGCACGGCTGCAGCGTTCCTGGGAATGGCCAGTGTCGCATCTGAGCCGCCCGCCCGGCAGCGCGGAGGGGAGACCCGCGCCCCCACACCCCTTCGCATGCAAGGCACCCACCTTGTCTCCCCACTATCTCCGCGACATGTTCCGAGCTGGGCACCGGGACGCATTCAGTCATGTTCACGCTCTTTTTCCGAGGCTCGCTGTCGTAAATGGAGCCCGTCTCGTCGTTGTCCAGCCCCAGCAGGGAGAGCTGATCCAGGGCGATCTGAAGGGCTCTTTGGTCATCCAGGGTCTCTCCCCCGCCACCACCACCACCGCCGCCGCCGCCGCCGCCGCTCCCGTTCCTCTCCATGTCTGCAAAAAGCGAGCTGGGCATAGTCCCTGTGTGTGGTGCACCCTCCGCCTGCGCTCGGCTCAGTAGTAAGAGATCAGACACAAAGGAGAACCCAAGGCAGATGGCCAGCAGGAGAGAAGGGAAGGGAGGGTGGGCAACTGCTGCAGACCGGGGAATTGTTGCCTTTTGCTTGTATATTTTGTATCTTTTTTGCTTTTTTTTTTTCCTCCTCTCAGTGCAATCCGGTTTATAAGATGTTCTCAGGACCCCCCCCAACGACTCCCCCCCCGGAGGTTTTTTTCGGTTGGCTTTTTCTTTTTTTTTCTCCTTTTTTTTTTTTTTTTTTTGTCGGCTGGGGGGTGGGGTGGGGGGGGGTGGGAAGAGGATAAGCGAGAGGAGCTCCGATGGCTTCCCCCCCTCGAGTTCCTCGCCGGCCACAATGCCAAGCGGCGGCAGCGTTTCTTTAAGGAGCCCCTCCCAGGCTCCACTCCACTCACTCAGCGATTTTTTTTTTTTTTCCCCTGCTCTCCCCTCCTCTGTCTGAGGCTCTGCTGCAGCCAGACGGCTCTGGAGAGGCGGGCGGGCGCGGGGCGGGGAGCGGGGGCCGCGCCGGCCGCCGCAGCGTCAGCGCCGCTCGCTCTGTCAGCCCCGCGCCGCCGCCGCCGCGCGCCGCGATTGGCCGGGGCGGCGCCGAGGGGCCGGCGCTGCCCCCCCGGCCCGGCCCGGCCCGGCCCGGCTCTTTGTTGTCGGGCTGCCCAACAATGCCGGGCCCCCCGGCCCCGCCGGCCGCTGCTCCCCCCTCTCCGCCGCGCCTCCTCCCCCCGCCCCCCCACCCCCCCGAGCGCCCGCCGCCAGCCCCACCTGAGCGCTCGGCGGAGGGGGCTGCGCTTGGGGTGGGGTGGGGGGGAAGGGTGCCCTTTGTGCGCCTCCCGCCGGGCTCGGGAGGAGCAGCAGCGCCACCGGCGGCACCGCAGGGCCCCCCCCCGGCCGCGGCCCCGACCCCGCACCAGCAGCGCCGCCGCCGCCGCCGCCCCTTC